TGAACGATAGCTAACGAAGAAAGATCGTTACAGGTACTTGCAGGTATGCACGTCCCTCCACAAAACCACGACATGCAAACCAATCGTTTCTATACCCGCGGACTTTATGCTTCTCAGGCAACGACGATTTGTGTTGCGCGTTTCCGCGTTTCGGAATCGCCTCGTTATTGCGTCTAAATGTAAAAAAAAACGGGGGCCGGGGGGCGGGGGGGAGAGAGAGAAAAAATGATAGAAAGAGAACACGTGGCAAGAAGAAACTTTTTTTCGCGTTAACACACCAAGTACGCACAAAAACCACACAGAGAGTCGGAACAAAAGGCGAAGCTTCCTGATCGCGAAGGACCATGAAAAAGCTTTTTCGTAGGCATGGCAGTATGCACGATTGTCGTTCACGCGTACGAACATTCCACGTGGTCCAGTCACTTTAGAATTCATTGTGAAGATATTGCTGATCTTCGTGGGAATTAATGATTGCGCGATTATTAACAGAGATACACACGAAGGATCACTTTAACGCGGATATTTTCATAATTTTGTTCGTATTTTAGTGTGTTTCAGTGACTGGAGTAACGAGTTTTCCGCGTAGACTCAATGTTGCCTCATCTTTAATAATTATATCCAGAAATGAGCGAAATTTTATTTAGATAAAGTTTCGAATAACGAGTAAAGAATAACTCGCTCGTTAAATAAAAATAAGAAGCGAGATTATCGAATGAACGCGAGTAAATGAACATTTAAATATTTAATTGAATAAATTTCTGTTCCTTTCATTCGTTATCCGTGGAATAAAATTTTGCCCATCTCTGGTTCTATCCACCAACTACGTTATCACAAAATATTAAACCGTGGAAGAGCGTCGAAAGGGTGAACACTGCCGACACCAAGTTAACAATCACAAGTTACGAGGCCTAGGTAACGATACACCGTGGGAGAATTACAGAGATTTGCATGTATTAAGTGTTATTAGGATGCAGATGATAATTGGATCTAGATACTTGGATATATTAGCAGTGTTTCTCAAACTTCACCTTTCGGTAGACCTTTTCTCGTGGAGTGGAGTACAATTTGATTATGTTTCAAATGTATACGTAATAACATATTTGAAATTAAATTGCTTCGTACTTTGCAATTTATATTTAAACATAAATGAATTTTGTATAACCGTTAGCATCGAGAAATCTTCATTGCTTTAATTTCAGTTAAAACAATCTTGCTCGTAAAATAAAAATTAATTACCTCTTATTATTTTGAACGAAAGCAGAATAGAAATTGATGAATATGATTAGAGACACAAAAAAATGTTAACGAAACTGTACAAACGTTGAGCAAATTTAAATTTGATGAGATGATTAGAAATAAAGTGAGGGATGTTAGAGAAACACTGTATTAGGTGTCCCAGCAAATATTGCGCATTTTAGTCACCTTGCTTTCTGGTTATTTGTAAACCATTTATCGAAGTGAAGTAGTATCGTAAGTATCGATACATTATTGGATAGTTCGTGTTTGTGCTGATTACAAAAATATATCCTGCGTTCGTTTTCATTGTTCGTTTGGTTTATCTTTCGAATGAGTTGCGATAAAATAAAAGGTTTGATGCGTTCGCACCATTATCGGAAAACAAAACTATAATTCTATTATTAAAACTACGATTCACCCAGTGTACAGTCCAGACTTTGTTCTCTGTCCGACTATCACTTTCCTGAAGCCATAACGTAATCATTCAGCAATTTGATTCAACAATTACGCGTCCAAAAAGAACCATAATGGCGTTACTGAGGAATACATTCATAGTTTGGGTGAAATCATATTAAGATTTTGATATTCGCAATACTTTTTGGGACACCTTAATATTTACTCGAAGAAATCACTGATCAATTTGATTCCTGATTTCAATCCGGATCTTTCAGTTCCTGGATCAGATTACTCTATCAATTGCTCAGTTGATAAACGGATCCAAGTAATTAACCCAGTTATGGCAGACGTCCTTCCAGAAAGGTTTGCAAGTATGTTAAATAAAACGCGTGGAAAAATAGAAACTGGTCTATGTAATTCTATAAATAATTCAAAAGTCTCGCGGAGTATTATTTCTGTAAATTCCTAGATTTCCTTCCAGATGGTGGATGATTTTAGAGATGTCTGAAACTTTTGGCACTTCAACTGGTTATAATAAAATATTTGAAAAAAACAAATTCAGCCATATCTGGGTTAACGAATCCTTTCTCTTCAACTTCAGCCCTTTGCACTCGAGAGGTGACCGACTTCCTAAAGATAGAATATTCAAGTATAATATTTCTTTATATTAATTTGTATGCAAAAAACATCAGCTGTAAGAAGTATGACAAATATTTGCAAAATCACTCGGAGTTGCTAGTCCAAAGTAAATACATGGAATGCAAAGGATTAATAGTTGAAAATGTCTGCTGGCTACACCTCCTTGGTTTGCATCGTTCGCGAAGCCCTCGTAACGTTTAACACAACTGTCCAATCGATGGACGTATCTGCACCAACCAAGAGAATGTTCGCGTAAAAAACAATAATAACACGTTCGAGCATGCTGTTCCGATTTCCTGTTTGTAGCTTGAGTACTCCCTGCGACTTTCGACTCAACACAGACGTACGTGAACGTCGAAACGCGTTTGTTTCTATATTTTTTTTTTTTTTAGGAATGTGGCGAGAGGCTAGAAATGGGTTTGTGAATTTCGTCGTGGGAATTTGTCTGTCACGTCGGACCTGTTCGACTCGGGAAGCTCTCGAGCATTACAATGCAAACCATTTGAGCGAAACTGCGACGTAACCGGGCTCATTGTTTTTTTCTTTCGTTTCTAACCGCGCGTAAAATAGATGCCGCGTAAAAGTATAGCTACCCTCCAAAGATTCTGGAGCTTAAGAAATCGATAACATTGGATGGAATGTCCATTGCTTATTCACTAATAAAAATATTTCTAGCAAAATATATAAATTTTATATATATATATATATGTATATGCTTGGGTCTGTACTTAGATATTTGTATATATAACATATAAATTTATATGTATATATTTACACATTCATATAAATCAGGAAATCTCCAGAGGAAAAACCTGAATCGGAGAGTCCTCGATCGCGTTTACGTTAAAGGCACTTTGTTGCACATTGCGTGAAACGACACGATCTTCCGCGCGAATTATATCAGAGTTCACACGACAAAATAAGACGCCGTCTACTAAGAATAAGTGACGTCTAAAATGTGCATGTTACATTTCATAAAAAAGAAATATATATATATATAATAAAGTAACACATAAAACACTCTAAGTACTGTTGCTCGAAATAAGTATCAAAATGGAAAACAAGTCTGAAAATTGGAGGAAAGAGTCCAAGAACAAAGGGCCTCTAAATAACAGTCACCGTACACCGATACAAAAGAGGGAGGCTTGCACAAAGTGCTATGTGGAATGTCAGGAAATAACTATAGCGAACAGAATCATGTACTGTGTACGTTCATGGAGAAACTGAATCGTACGTCTTAATAATACGACAAACTTTTGCACAGCGACGATGCAAACGAGAAACATTCTCCAGTGTCTTTCACGCGTGAAGAACGTTTCGATCGGTCGTCGCAAAAACCCACGTGGAAGCTACTCTTCACGATACGAAGAATCAGAAGCCTCGATTATCGTGAACGGAGAATCGATCGAGATTTTGCTCTAGAAACTGGCCCAACTGAAACGAGCCATTTCGACGAGGGCAGTGAATGAGATACAACCGTAAGAATGATGAATTAAATAACGAACTTCCAGCTACCGATGCATGTATACAGTGACCTGTGGAAATCGATCCCTTTAAATATCTGGTCGTGAAATTGTCGATCATACTGGCAAATGTATTAGATAAAAAGTATGTAGCTTTAAGGAGTGAATAATTTAATGTGGTTAAGCTTTTATTGAAAGTGTACGAGACTTCTGGTACTTCCATTTTAAAAGAAGATATTGATCACTCCACCTACCGAAAGCTATCTTCTTCAACTACTCTCTACAACCTTCCTTTTGTCTGATACATTTGCCGTTACTACCGATGCAGGTATATCCAAGAGAAACGATTTAGATAGGATACCCTATACATGCGTTGATTTCATCAAAAAGTGAGACATTACTTCATAAAGGAACGAACGTTGTCGCATTGGACGATAAAGGCGACCAGTGGAAAGTGTATGGAAAACGGAGCACCCGTTAAATGAAGATCCTTGATTACTGACTTGGTCCGTTGTTACCGCGGCATTCGACACTGGCACGGCTCGATCCTTCAAATCTGAGGATAAAATTGAGCAGGGTAAGGCAAACCAGGTGCCGCAGTTGGAGCTTGAGCGAACGCGGCCGCTGGCGAGTGCCACGTGGCGCGTTTCGCGACGGTGCCGGATGCGTCGGGCGGGAAAGCGCTTTCCCATGATCGTTTCAATCCCATTATGGCGGCAGGATTCAAAGGTGCCTGGACGATGGGCGTCAGCAGACCGTGAGGCGCTGGTCCCCGCAGAATAGGGATTCGCGAAGGAACATTGAAGAATAAGAATGGCGCATGTGTCGGTGGTTGAGCGTGAAGCGCCGCAGCGGCCGCGGCGGCAGCGGCTGCCGCTGGAGGTGACATGGCATAGGCAGGGATCTGATGCTGATTATGTCCAGGTAGCGCGAGCGTCTTAGTCGTGGCCGACGAAGTTGGGGATGCGGGAGTAGTGGAAGTGGGCGGTGGATTGGAGGCTAAAGCCATTAGCCAGAAATCTTGGTTTCGTAACGCCTGCGCTTGAGCCTGAGCTTGAGCCTGCGCTTGAGCCTGCGCTTGAGCTTGCGCCTGTGCTTGGGCTTGGGCCTGCACTAACGCGTGAATGTCCCAGAGGGGAGGTTGCGCCGTCGGTACCTGTACCGGTACCGGCGTAGGCGGAGGCGGATGTGTCAAAGTTGCAGGATTTTGTGTGGTCAACGTACCGGGTGATAGCAGAGCCTTGGTTGACGGCTGAGTTACCGCACCTGTCAATACCAGATTCATATCGTCCCCGCTGCACTGGAACACTTCGATGTACCGTTGTTTCTTGCCATATATCATGTATCGATGATGCCGTTGCGACGCGCACGCGAACGCCGAACTTTCGCTGTCCATTTGAATGAACGCCTCGCCTGAGGGCTGACCCTAAAACAAAAAACAAAGATAATCACACGTTAATTAACTAGTTACATCAACTTTTCTTCGCTACTGTTTCAGTTAAAAATTATAATAAATGTAACTAACGTAATAAATATACTTACTTGAGCATTGTAAACCATGTGAACACCTTGGTAGACGATATTCTTGGAATGCTCGCCCATAAATTCGAGAATATGTTCTACGAGAGCTTCGTAAGGAAGACCGCGCAATCGAACGCAATCTTTACGCGTACCGGACGTGATGATGTGTTGCGGAAGTATTGGTGGAAGCTGTGGGATAGGTGGCGTCGGGAGTACGACCTGTTTTGGGTCAATTGCCCTGTTCAAGACCTGTAAACCATAAAATCGATATGCAAATGAATCACGTCTATTTTCACTTCGTCCCTTCTTCTACTATTTTGTACCCGCATTATTTTCACGCACCTGTTGCACCTCAGCAATTGTACTGCGAAAAAGTTCGATATACCGACTACCAATGCAATCTCTGTGTTTGCTCAATGCCTTCACAGCGTCTTCTTCTTTCGCAAAAAGAACGAAAGCGTCTCCAGTTGCTCTGCCATCTGGTTTCTTGACAAATAGGACTCCGTCTTCCCCGTCTAACACGTGACAGGGCTTTTGCCCTGATAAAAAGAAGTCCAGCTGTAAAAAATAATACGCGAATGAAAGGAAATCAGAAACGCATGGTGGAACGTACAATAGGAAAGTTTTTTGTTCTTTTAGTGCTCACCACTTGCTTAGCTACACAGTCATATGGCAAGCCTCTCATTCTAACAATGACTTGAGCTCCCCGTGACAAAAATGCGTGAGCCTCCCCACTTGTTCCTCCTGCAACGCCGACGAAATCCTCCCCAGAAGCCTTGTAAACTTCTATGTATCGTCCACCCATATGATGTTTATGTCTTTTTAATGCCATGTCTCTGTGTTCTTTATTAACAAATCGTACTAATGCTTCTCCGTTACGTCTTCCCATAGGACTTAAACACAGAGCTACGCCACCCCTGGAAATCAACGAAATTAAACAAAATTGCGATACAATAGAAAGCACTGTACATAATTTTGTAAGTTATTGCGTAACAGATAAGAGAAAGAAATTCCATTATTTATTCTTGCGTATTACTACCGCAGTCATCGCAAGAATTATTAATAAAATTGTGCGGTGCATAAAATTCATGATCCCAGATAATACTTATCGCTATACGAAGTGACATAAGTTTTTAAGATATGTTTACCACCTTGAACTAAGTAAACACAACAATTTCCATGAAATTTTGCATAACAATCTAGCAGAGTTTGAGAATCATGTGAGCAATGTAAATTTATTTATGCGTCAGATATAAATGTTTACCTTCTTTACGCGCATCCAAGTGGCTTGTATACAAACACCATAACAATTATTACAACTTATTTTTCAGAATTCTTGTACTTAACGTTCATGTTTAACAAGTTTCACTTACTTGGCAACATTTAAGCCACGAAAAAATTTTGCTATGTCCTGGTCAGACGATTGCCAAGGAAGACCTCGTGCTCTTACTACACAGCCATTGTCAACTTCTTCATCTTTTGAGCTGCAAACAAACATTAGACAGAGATGACAGAGTAACTTTCAGAAGTAAGTCTAAAATAAAAATAAATAATAAATATTACTCACCATATACCAGGTTCTAAGATAATATTAATTACTTCAGGAGTTTGGAAAACGTGACCTACAAAAAAGTAGAGAACAACTGTTAGTATGCATTCAAATGTATTCGGTATATTGAGAATATTTCAAGAATATTGTCAATGGTAGAAACAGAATAAGCTCATGGATCTGCGTCGCCCATGTACCGACTACGATCGTGACTCATCGATCCAAAAAATCAACTACGATACTATTCATGAAGATCTCAATTTCCAACTATTTTTGTATAATTGTCTAGTATCGAGCGTTCTGAAACTACGCTGTTTCTATCGCGAATATATATTTTAAGTAAATAATTAACACAAAAACTTCCACCTTAATTCTTGCGATCATTGTAATTAAATAATACATTGATGATCAATAGCCTCATCCAACTATGCACCCACATCGTCAAAATAAAACCGAGTTGTAAGACAGTTTACGTTTATAAAAAAAAAAAAGGGATAAATCACGAGGTCTAAAAAGTGAATTCTTTTTTAACGAGAATGCGATGCTTTAAAGAGGGTCAAGCGATGCGGTAGATTTCACAATTGGTAACCTCGCTTCCTTCTGGTCAACACGTGCGTTTGCAATGCAGATTCTCTGCCAAGAGAAAGTTTAGTAAACTTCCTACATAAATGTCCATGAATACGACATTGACCAGCTCATTCTGTAATGAACTCATCGAAATCAATTTCCCCCGATTCCAAAGTTTTGTTCAAAATTAAACCCATCGCGATCCAGATATTCTCATCTCGGTACAATTTTGTGACTGCAACATGTTAATGCTCTCATCAAAACATTCCTGAAGTAAATCGATTAAAAGTATAATTGTCGTTTCGATGTCTTGGTCGCCGCAGTTAATGAGTTTCCTTTGTAATCATACACCAGCGGTTCGGCTCTAATTTCTCTTGCCCGAGCAAAATTCCCGCGATTAATTTGCCTAGTCAGTGCATAACGCGTCAGCACGTCCATCAAAGAATTTTCACTCGAAATTGGTCTTTTGTTCCGATTGCATCGCCAAGAGCAAATAAATTTTGTTTAATTTTCATAAATCAGCGTGATAAATACGAATGTAAAGGAAATATGATCCTCTGCAAGCAGATGAAGCGAAGTCAATGTTCTTATACCGTCGCGTACAGACCAAAGAGCAATCGATGGCGCATGTGCTTTAGCGTGTGCCAGCGTTCGCCAAGCGTGTAGCACATGTGCCTTCGGCTGCGTTTGGCTGGTCTACACGCGCTTAACTTTCGATTCTCGACTGTTTTACTCATCCCCTTAACGCATCTGATTACGTAGGAATACGTATGTATAATATCAGCACGATAACTTTAAGCACAGCTGAAGTCGCGTTTTTAAACCTAACAAAATTCTTTACTTTGTCCTATATAAATTCGCTCCATTTTGAAATACAAATATTTCTATATATTTGTGTAAAGGTGTGAGCAACTGGTGAAAAAGTGTCATTCGTTTTCAATGACAACTACGTCGTACGTGCTCCGCAAGAAGCAATTATGTTTGCGAATGCACGCACGCATTTGACACACTGGCACGCAAGTGTACAGTCCATTTAAATGGAAAACTGTTTGGAGTTGAGCACCACTGTGATAAGGAGTATATTATGGCCGTCACCGCTTCTAACATTACACAGCTTGACCCGCGATCATAAACCATGAACACGCAGAAGGGACCAGTGTGCACGGACCTGAGACATATACTATTCTCTCCCTCTCTCCTTTTTCGTTCCGTTCTCTTATTCAGTCGTTTTGTCTCCTTTGCATTCGCTTATGCTAGCCTTTCTTCGTTCGCGCGTGCAACGCAACGCCGGGTTAGGTATCGTTCGAAATAGAAATATTTCAAGTATAACGCGAATAGTCAACGATAAACAATTGAAACGAGTAAATCATCTTCGAGCATTTAAGTCGGATGGGAGTATAAACGATTTATGTAGCATTTAACATTATTATAGTTCGAAAAGTCTATTTGAATATGTTCAGAATAATTACGAAAAGAAGAGAATCTTATATAATTTATTACTTCGACAGTGGGTATTGCAGAGACTATAAAACAGAATATAATTTCTTAGAACATAGAAACACACTGATAACAGAATCTTTTATGATGTAATCTTCGTATATGTTCCACGTGGGGATTATTTTAAGAGTTGTTTAGATATTTTTGGTGTTGTCAAAAAAAAAAAAAAAAAAAAAAAAAAATAATAGAAACCGTTTGCTTTGTGAAAATTAAAATGAATGGTTTTTATATTCATTAAATGAGATGGAACTTATGAGTGTATCTGAAATTCGTTTTTCTACTATACAGATAGTCTTTGCGTGTGTGATTAGAGAAATTAAATTGTTTCAATGACCAAATCTTTGATTCCTCTCTAGATCCAACGAGTTGAAATCATTTATGCTCCCATAATGTGGAAAATTTATGAAACCTATTCAGTATCTATGATTAGAAAGACATTTTGCTCGGGTCAGAACGTGAATAATTTTTCGTAATATCAAACTATGAGTACATCATACAGGAAAACTAATTTCCTTGTTATTTAACAACAACTTAGACTTTCTTCAATTAAATCTTGCATAGAATATATTCTGACTGTAATCTGAAAGTCAGTGAGAGTGGAATGGAGTTTCAACATTCCCTGTTGCGTATAACAGAAAACTCTAAAATAATACACGCGATTAGTATCGAGAAAAACAGCGGAGTTTCCTCGATGATATTCCCTTTTTTGGAGTACGACATATTATAGGAAGAACTTTTGCTTTTACAGAGAGAGTTGCCTTGAAACTCACGCGTCCTTGAGTATTGTGGATGAAAAAGGAGAGATTCATAGTCCAGCCACGTGCCAGTTAAGAATAAAGCAGGATTAATTTGAAAGCCTGCATCTACATCTTTGTTAACGCGGCAAGATTCGAATTGTATTTAACCGTCAGCGATCCGATGTCGAGCGATTGTCGACAAAAATCAGAAAAATCAGAAAAATCAGAAATCAGAAGATCTAAACAGCAAAGGGTTAACAAGATACCGATTACGATCCATAAAATTGAAACGAATCGAAATGTTACGTTGGTCGATGGTGTTAAGAGTCCACGAAAGATAGAAGTATCGTGTATGAACCTTAATCTTTGAGAAATAAAACCACTTTTTTTTTCCATGCAGAGTTGCTCGTTAATTAGAAAAAAAAAAAAAACATGTGTCGCTATCGGCCGTAAGAGCAGATTAGATATAAATTCGTTTTACACAGTTTGTGCTATGAGCCGAGAGGAAAATACGTGAAGTCGCACGACTTACCATCTTTGATCATTCTTTGTATCACGCTGATCATATCCTGTATCTCCTTCACGTGATAGTCGTTTTCCGTATCGGACGGTAGACCAAAATCTGATTGGGATCAGTCAAGGATAAATTATCGCTTCTTAATCGATACAGTTCCTATCGCGACGAAACCGAGCCACGGATTGTCATAATCGATGCTTTTACGTAATCGTGCGCGACATATCGGGATATCGAGTCCAAATATTATCAGGCCTATTATTGCCTGAGAATATTTATCATTTGCTTTGCTCCAATTTTACGAGCAATCTTTGCCTTCGGAAACCGACTCGCGTTGAAGGGATGTAGCAAGAATCTATATCTGTATTTCTTGTATGCTTTTAATGGAAGTTGAAATCGGAGTAGTTTGTTGAATAGAGTGTAAATAATACAAAAGAGCAACAAACCGGGACGTTAAAGGACTTAAGGTCGAGAAAACGAGCAAACTTGTTACGTGCATAATTATCCGTATATCTCGTTTGGTCGTCGAGTTGTTACCAATATCTCCACCGGGTTGACCTTTAAACCGTGTTCCGCGCGTGATAAGACCGCGATGGCCACTTGGTGGGACTTTCATAAGTCATTCGGTTGATATTGGTGTCGTGTACATTTTAATTTCGTCCAATTTTCACCTAACTTTTGTATTAAAGTCTTTCTGCATTCTTTTGCTCTTCATTTGATACCCTAATCAAAGAATGATATATTTCATTGGTTGTAACGGTAATCGAACAGGAAATCTACTTTGTACTTTTAAATGGAAGTATAGAGAATTGATTCAAGCATTTACATTTCTTAATTGAACGTTTTTACTCTATTTTAAACAGGATATCGTATATTAAGTGGAGTGCTCTATCTTAGGAGAGTTTCTTTTAAATAGTATCGGATTATTCATAGACGTAAATTACTTGCATATTTTCGAATCATTTAGAATTAAGATCGAAACGTTAAATTAAAAATATATTTATGCCAAGCACGGATCGGATCTCCATTTCTTTACTGTCGGTTTGCGCTTATAAAAATCTGACAAAAACCTGTTACGAATTATTAATGGCTTGTTTACAGAGATTGAAGACCGTAATGAAAATTAAATGGTCAGTAATGAAAACGTTAGTCTCCTTAGCGACACTTCCGGCTTTTTTCTTGCATATTCTAAACTTGTTTAAGTGAAATACAAAATAAGGGCAAAGAAAATAATCGAACGATTATATCAGCGAATTCGAGCATAGATTCCTTTGGCTCGCGTAAATCATAGTGATCGCAGTTGAACATAAAAATTGTCAAGGGAAGACAAATACTTAATTTCTTAGCTCGAGGTCTTCATTGGTGAAATAGATAAACTCATCGGTTTTGTAAACTACTCCAAAAACCAAACAAATATTTCATCTTATTATTCGATAGTATAAGCAAAATAAAAGACTATCTCGCTTGTATAATTTTTACAAGGTGATCAGTGATCACCAGCGATCACTGATACCACAAAGTAAAGTATTTTCTGAATCGCTCAAATATCAACAAAAATTATACTCGTACTATATAATAATTATAACAAGTGTTTAATTGTTTATTCCGCGAGCTTCTTTCGACATTCGATAATTCGATTAAATAAAAGAAATCATGAGATCATGAGACGTCACTAGGGTCGATCGATATTTGTGTATACTGTATCTCGGCAGCCACAGGTGGTTTTGTTTTATTAAGGATAGATACAGCACACATTACAATAGAACGAACGGAACGATTATAATCCGTGGGTTCCAAGTCGAGCTTAACAACGAGGTTGGATTGGAACCACGTCAGGTATCAATTTGCATTTATGGAGTAGCACTTCCTCTTTTGGATTTAAATCTCACCTACGAGTGCGCGGCTTCTACACCTTTCATGCAAATGCAGGGAAATATGGAAAGAGCTGATATGCGCACACAGATGCGAGGCAGGTTCTTGTTTTCTTTTTTTTCCAATCCCAAGGAAACGAAAATATAACCATAGATCGAACGACTCTGCGTTCATAGGAGTGCAATCGTTTTTGTCCTTCGTAAATAATTTCAGTTTATCGAAATTACTATTCGCATACCGTGTGCTTGGAAATTTGGATATTTCTTCGACAGTACGTAGCAAAATTACTGCGCAATATTTTCGAATTAAAAAGTAAATATATCCGAGGAATGGAAGTTGTACTATTAGACTAGTATCTATTAAATAAAAACGATACTCCTAATCGAGACCACGGTGTCTTTCACTCGAATGAATTTTCCCTCCAATAAATTTTCCATGCCTCCACAAATGGTAATCTCATCCCTCTTCAAATTTTCAAAACAAATGAATCATTACCGGACACTAACACACCGTCTAGTCTTCGCTGAAGTACCAGTAACCCGTCAATGTATTCTACAAGACTGTAAACTATTTAATGAAAGAATTTAACGATCGATTCTTATGTTCTCAACGAAGCAATGTTAAACACGACCACGAGGAGATCCTTCGATGGATATACGCGTGTTCAGAATAAACGTACCTCGAATTCAAACCGTGGAGCGTTCGAAGGAACGTCGAGATCCCAGGATAATTCTGTCGTCGCTTAGAACGAATCGAATAAATAATATAGCACACTCCCGCGAGATCCTCGAAAGTTCTGCGTTAAAAAAATCGAGCGGAGACGGACGCACGATGGGTGAGTAATATTCGTGCTCGAATATATTGGCCCCACGAGAGCCGCAATTACACGATACGCGCACCCTCCGTCCGTTTCCAGACTGACTTGGACTGACTTTACACACCAGCGGCCAGTTCGTCGTCAGGTTCGTCGAATATGTTGGATTCGACTTCTGTCGCGCCGCCTAACGGCCGCACGCCTTGGAATTCTCCTCGTTTCGACCATAGTCGTCGCCTTGGGGCGATCAGACGGTATCGAAAAACGGAATCTTTACTTTTATCAATGAATCGCGACGATTCCGACGGCGAACAAACGCGCGGATCGAAAAGTGGCTACACGGTGGGCTGGAAAAACGATGTAGGCATGAATTCGATTCGTGGGATGCTCCTTTGTATTTTTACAGGCCTTTTTAATTGAGTTTTTTGAGTGCCCTCGATCCTCGAGAGAGGGAGCGACTTGTCAGTTTGGTACGGGATTAGGACTGTGTAATGATGCGAGTATTAGGTTGTCCCGAAAGTTTCTTTCGCGAGTTGCACTGAATTATTTGATGTGGTCGTGTTTATATAGATAGACAATCTAATTTCATAGATATTCATGTTGTAACAGTAATGGAGCAAAATGAATCGTGTACAATTCAGTAATGTAGCATAAAACATATAATATTGTGCATGTATTACTTATTAATAAAGCGAAAGAAACTTTCGGGACAACCTAATATATGGAAGTGAGACAATGTTGTTCCTGTTTGTTGTTTACATTTTGTAACGAAATGTTAATCTGAATCGAAGTTAAACTAAAATTTAGGAGACGTGAACGAGAGAAAACCAATATAATATAATTAATTAGGCGTAGAAATTATTCCTCTGGCTTCATATTCAATCTATTATAAGTTTAGTTTAAACCGAAATAATTACCAACATTCTAGGTTCTTGACCTGGGACTCTGTTATAATGAATCTGTACATATCGTTACAATCTACATATATGTATGTACGAAGTTTGATAGCCATGCGTTTTTGCTTATTGTTATTATTCTCACAGATTACACAAGTGTGCTTGGTAATTACAGTAATTGAAAAAGAGTAACAACAAGCAAAATTCGAAGGCTACTAAAAGTTTGTATGGATGCATTGCAGCAGTGACCATCAGGTTGAGACTTAGGTTATGTGAATAGATACATTGTAATAGAGTTGAAACTGAGGACTCGGAAGGCTTAGAATGAGCAAATAAGTATATCTACTTTAGCGACGATTAAGTTTAAACTAGAGTTATAAATTATTAAATACAGAGGCACAGAATTAATTTCTACGCCTAATACATAAAAAAAAAAAAACGAACACGACAGATGGCGCCATTAACCAATGTGGCTGAGAGCGTTATGTATCTTCGAATAAGCCTTTGAATAGTCTAAATATTCCAATACTCATGGATTCAGCTGAAATGCTCTAATATAAAATAAATTCGACAATTAGTCCCTGCCACGTAAATTGAGAAGGACATACCTAAAATGTCGATTCATTATGCTTTTATTTGACTTTTTCGTGCTCCATCTCCTCGATAGAGGGAGCAACTAGTCGCACTAGTGGTCCTGCGACGTAGAACGACGCCCATCGACAAAGGTATGCGCAAAACAAGGAAATGACCGAGCAACATCGAATCGTTAATTATGCGATTTGTAAAAGGATACATTCCAGCATCTCCTGTATTCCAAAGGTCGAAAGTTCCCCGTGGGTAGAGTAGCAGGCGACGAATTCCTTGCGGAGGTCGTGGAAGAAGTTGTAATGTTCTGGCAGCTCGATGTCTTTGTTGCAGGCCTCTGGATGCAGGCATTGTCTCAAAGGCGCCTGTCCGTCTACGACGAATCTCGGTGCGGTGCCTGACGTCACGCAGGACATGGAAGACCACCATGCTTCGAACTTTTTTTAAAAATCAAATTTTGTAAAAGTTGCTTCCCCTTGAGTCTCCCGCAATAAAAACAGTTTTGTGGAATGCTTCATGTAATTAAAACATGAAAAATCCTCGAGATATAAATTTAAAGAAGTTCTCACTTTCATTGGTAATTAAAATGGATATGCGTTTAAGTTGGCCAAGGGAGAATGAGGTTCCTGGAGACCTCACTCTCGCTTCACCAGACGATACATTCGTTCTCAGTGAAACTCAATTTTATTTGTATTGCCAACAAATTTGGTTCCTTAAAATTTAACAAAATTTGTATACTTTCTATAGACAAGCATATCGACATCATTGTGAGAAAAGCACTGATGCTTTTCCTACGTGTAATGTAATGTGTACATGTAATTTCTACATGTAATTAACACATTAATTATTTGCTAAACAAAAAGAAACCCACTAGAGAAACTTGCTAAACTCATACTTCTAGTCTTCAACGTTAAATATTTGTTCGATGATACGATGGATTACGCGAATTCAGCTACACTTATCTTTTTTTTTTTTTTCATTCAACGCAGATCGAAGTTATTAGTTTCCTTATCGTTCGTATCGAATGTACATATGTGGATGGAAACATTGTATACATTTGTGCCGGACAAATTTCAACGAAATATTTAAAGATTAGAAATTTAATTACCTGCTCGACCGCTTGCTCCAACGGAATTCCGTGTTCTCGAACCGTTTTCTCGGTTAACGCTGGAGCATGCGCCAGTGCTGCTTCGCTGATAACACCGCTACTTCCGGCGACCGCCGGATTGTCGCTACCGGTTCCAGGCGTACAGCTTTCGTCCATTACCATCGGTCGTACAATGTACTGTTGCCTTCCCAGCACCTGCAATCGTTAGATCCATAAATAACCAACAGTGTAACAAATTTTTTGATAATTTAAAACTGCACGAACTGCATGAAAATTTGAATTTGCATAAACATCCACAGACTATTTGTTACTGCTACTTCAACTACATTTGACTCAAGCTTTATTATTGTTGTTCTTTCTTAGTCTCTGCGTTACCATACTTCCCTTATTGACCAATCACACGTGCCCCTGCAATTCTGCAACGCGTCATACACCATCGCGAATGGGTTACATACCAACAGGGGTATGCAAAGCATGCAACGAATACATCGTGCGAGTTTAGTTTAGTCGAATTTTTTCGTCTTTACTCTATCGAGTAAGCTACATTTTGTGCAATTACAATCTGACGTAACAGCGAGAAATTATGCGTTCCCGTCTTTTTCACCTTTCCTCGTGTAATTGCAGGTCCGAACTTCAAATCACCTTTACGTAAAGACAGGTATATAATGACCGCGCAACATAGTAGACGAATGCTTTTTAGTGGAATCGCGTAAAAAATATATCTTGAATAATCTTCTCGGCAAATTGAATTTAATGCTTGTTACAGTGGCAAATTCAACGCGAATAGTCTTCGTTATAAAACGATTAATTTCGCGTTGTCTAGATGCTTAGATGATTATCGAAATATTCGTGAGATTCAGAGCTATTAATACGGTTAATCATCTCGATATTTGAGTCGATTTCCTCGATCTATATAGATGTACGATAGGAAGCGTTTTGAATCTCTGTTTGTGTAAAACTATCCCTGTAAGAGGTCACTTATTAATTACATAAAGATTTCAAGGGACGGGGAGGTTTAAAAAAATCTGAACGTGACATTACCTGGGGAGGGAGGGTTAAGAGTCATTCTTACGTAATATTTAACTACGAATCAAAATAGTTTCCTCATTTTAAGATTGTTTCAAATCTTACCTTTAATTATACCACGAATTTCCCAGAGACAAAATAACTATTTAAAAAAAAAAAAAAAAAAAAAAAATAAACATCTGTGAATTATAATAACGTGTTTTAGTGTAGCTAAGCCTTTTCTAACAACATACAACTATTTAAGTAGAGGAAAACTCTAGTTACAATATTATGTAAGAAGACCTTTACGTGTCTTTAATTGGGGATAGGGGGATCAAAAATGGCCAAAATCGTCCTTACGTAATTAACGAACCCCTAATGAGTCCCTAACGCACTATACAATTATCCAAATGAAATTAAAAAAACGGTACACCGCGAGTCTTCGTAATTGCACCGTGGGTCATTAATTACAACGAGAAATTTGGCGTGTAATTACTCATAACACGCGAAAGGAACGACTGGCAGAAAATCCAGGAGTCTACGAAACAAAAAAGAATAATAAAAGTAAAACGCCACGGACACGTAAGCTTTTACTATATTTCCGAGTGGAAAGTGGTGGGTTTTAATCGAGTGCAAGCGTTTAAAACGAGTTTCTCGTTTCGAAACTAAAAAGAGATCGAAAATTTCACAATGACACGTTGCAAGGTAGACATTAAAAACGGGACTCGACATTTTCTAGAAGCTGGAGTTGGGTAAAATTCATTTACATTTGTAAAGAAGAAACTTCGCTTGTGGTGTTATAATAAAGAATGCTTCGTTACGAATAATGTTTAAATAATAGAAAATGGCGAATCTAGAATTTACTCTGAATTATTACCTCTCTTAATAATTAAAATTCTTCGATACTTTTAACCTTCCGATGGATATTGATTCGACATTATGCATTTAAGTAAAAAGTGCTCGGACTATTCATTTCACAGATAAAAAAAACAAAAGCCGTTTAAGGTCATTAGTGTCATTTTTTAATAATATATTTTTTTTTTTCTAACAGCAAACAATTCCGTGAATTTGTACACGGTCGTGCCTGTGTATACTTCTAAGTCGATATTTATGCGAATTCACATTTTTATATACCCAGATGAAAAACAGATACGTACATTTAAATGTCTTGTCTTCTAAATGCTGTGACGTGTATTTTCTTTTTTACATTTTGTAATATTTATGCATATGTACACCACCTTGTGTACATTCGTATATTTACACTTGTTAATGCATACTCCTAAGGAGAGTTGAGAATGTTAACCACATAGGAGTTCAGGTGTCAACTGTTAAGAATCTATCTAATGTTTTTATAACATCCGAGATTATCTTAGGTATGACCCCTTTAGGTTAACCCCTTGCACTATTTTCACGAGTCAGGCTCGTTGTTGAATCTAATGCGGCTTTTTCCGAGTCTCGGCATAGTGCAAGGGAGTAAAGTACGTTCGGTAATTTTTTTCAATTCACTTCGCATGGAAATCTTTGAGACGTGACAATCTT